TCTGTGCCTGCCATGTATTGCTGCTAGTTCTGCTTTCTGAAGCCAAGAAGAATAAGTCTAATATGTCTTAGACATGCTAGCTGTTAGACATGACAGCCCCTCAAATACTTCAAGACAGTTCTGATGGCCCATTCTATCCTCTAGGTCAGAGGTGTCAAAACATGGCCCAAATCAGATGAAAGTGTAATGGGAAATATTTAGTAAAATAAATAAAAATATAATAAAGTATACAGATAATATGAGTATGTGGTTTTCAAAGTCAATTTGCAGTCCACAGGGATCCTTATGTGTGGTTCAGTAGCCCCCTTTTCTATCTGAGTTTGACTCTATTATATTCACGGCTAAATCTCCCAAGTCATTCGGTTGGTCTAATTATGATGTGACGATAAGACCCTTCACCATTCTCAATGCTCTCCTCTGGATGCCCCCCAGATTATCGGTGTCTTTACTTAAAAGTGGCACCCAGAATCAAACAGAATAATTCATATGTGGTCTGAGCAAGGCATAGTAAAAACAAGAACAACAACTAGAATTTATATGGTACCCTAAAGTTTGCAAAACACTTTAAAATATGTCATTTGATCTTCACAATAACCCTGCAAGGTAGATGCTATTTATTATGAGGTAACTTAGACAGATAGAAGTTAAGCGACTTGCCCATTTGCCCAGGATCACAGAGCTAGTAAATATCTAGGCAGGATTTGAACTCAGGTTTTCCTTACTTCAAGTTCCACACACTACCCACTATACCACCTACCTGCACCTACTGCCTCCCTCATTCTGGACATCATGCTACTATTAATGCATCTAAGATTACATTAGTTTTTTTAGCAACCACGTCACCCTGTCGAGTCATACTGGGCTTGCAGTTTGCCAAGAATTTTATATTCTTTTAAAAGGAAATTTTTATCCATGCCACTACCATCTTGTACTTTAATCAACTTTACGTTGATTTTTTAAATCTCTGTGTAAGACTTTAAATTTATACTATTAAAAAATAACTAAAGGGAAGCAGATATTCCAACAGTTCCTGAATACAGAATATAATTTTTGTTTATTTTTTAATTCATTTGCTTCTGCTTTTGCTAAATAAAATACTAAATGTTCTATGTTATTTGAAGAGCCACTAGGTGGTGCCATAGCGCACAGAGCACTAGGCCTACTGTCAGGAACAGCTAAACTCAAATCCATCTTCAGACACTTAGTAGCTGTAAGACCATGGGCAAGTCAATTAATCTGTCTGCCTCGGTATCGTCTTCTGTAAAATGGGGGTAATAATAGCACCAACTTCCCAGGGTTATTGTGAGGAGCAAAGGAGATAATAATTGCAAAGCACTTTGCACGCTGCTTAGCACATAGTAAGCTGCTATATAAATGTCAACTAATATTATTACTGATTTTTTTGTTACATCCAGTAATTAAGTTTAAATTTAAAACATTTAAAAATGTTTTCCTAATTGATTTCATCTTATTAAATTCAGCCCAATATTCATTCTAATGTAACAAGATCTTTTGGGACCTTCTCCTACAATTCATTAAGTATCCCTCCCAGCTTTGTGTCACATGTAAATTTACAGAATCACAGACTTTGAGAATTAGAAGGTACCTCAGCGGCCACCTAATCCAACCTGCACGCCAAAGGAATCCTCACTACGATATACCCGACAAAGGCAGCTAGACAATCACATTTAAGGAATGGTAAAAAAGCCAGTTTGGCTGGCCTGAAGCATGCATGACAGGGACAAATGGACAATAACTTTGGAAAGGTAGGCAGGAATCAGGTTTGTAAAGGGCTTTCAATACTAAGCAGAGGGGCTGGATTTGGAGTCCAGGGCCACTTGGCTGGAGGGGAGAAGGGCTTGGTTTAGAGCTGGCTCCTTACCCGGTCCTTGGCACTCTTTACTTTGATGATCTTGGCTGCCAGAGAGAGCCCGGTGGACTTCTCAGTACATTTGTGGACTTGACCAAATCTTCCCCTGTGAAGATACCAAGCACAGAAGGCTCAGAGCCCTCAGAATGGGTACGCTGTCCCTCTACTCAGAGCCAAAGTAACCCTAAATCTTAGTCATCCTTGCGAATGGCAGGTTGGGCAGTTGGAGAACAGAAAAGCTGAGAATCTAAATGGATATAATCTTATCGAGGCAGGCCCTCGGTAAAACTGTGCCATCCAAAGATCAAAGGTGTAGGATGGAGTGCTGGAAGAGACCTTGGAAAAGATCTAGTCCCCCCTCCTCATTTTACAGTGGAAAGCACTGAGACCCCCCACAGAGTTAATTGTCTTGCCCAAGATCACATTGTTACTTAATGGAAGAACCATGACTTTTAACCTAAGACTCCTGATCTATAGTCTAGTGTGCCTTCCGTTGTTTCCTGGACAATGTGTTACAAAGAAAAAGAAATTGTATCTGAAGTCAGAAAACCCGGGTTCAGATCCCGGCTCCTGTGTGACCATTGGCGTACACCTGATCTTCAGGCCCTAGTTTCATTGTCTTACATAGGTTCCCAAAGTGGGTGATATGACCCCCTGAGGGTGCTGGAATGATCTAGGGCGGGGTGGTAGTAGCCTCAGGTGCAATTGGGGGGTGTTAAATAAAAATAAGGGGGCGGTGGAAGCATAAGGAAAGAAGAGATGAGAAAATTTTGAAAAACCATTTGTACGTTTCATCTATTGTGTAACAGAGTTAAAGTCATAGTAATTACATCATTTTCCAAATAAATACACAAAATGCAAGTTATAACCGATCAATTGTAAGGTCCACCAACAGGTCTTAACAACTAAGTGTTGGCAGGCAAGTGTGTCGCACATTGTTGGGAAGTTCAGCATACGTCAGCAGGAATATGTGCGTGTAATGACTTGTTTATAATATGACACGATACAGTTACATGATGCAATATTGTGTTATCAAAATTTCAATACAGAAACCACCCCACAAATTTACAATTATTAAATGTAAGATGCATCTTTTTTTTAAAAAAATATTTAATTTTTTTTGAAATGACGCAAATTTCAAAAAACCAATAAAAAGAAAGTAGATTTTCAGGAGAAGCTGAGTAATTTTTTTTAAAGGGGGCAGTAGGCCAAATAAATTTGGGAACTTCTGATGTATAGGATAAAGGGTCTGTACTAGATGGCTGCCGACATCTCTTCCAACTCTGTCATCTCATGAATATCCTTACTTTTACACTGGTCAGAAGGGTTAAGTACCTTTCCCAAGATCACCACCACTTACTAGAAGAATCATAACTGGAATTCAGGACTCCTGGTTATTATTAGTCCAATATGTTTTTCATTATCTCTTGAACAATGCATAGTGGAAAGAACACTGGATTTGGAGTCATGGGACCTGGGTTCAAATCCCAGCTACATTATTTCCCACTGTAACAGAGCTTTGCTTTGTACATACCAAATCACCCAAGTGATTGGTATCCATGTGGAAAATGGCAGGGACCTGCTTCTAGGAGAAGACATTCTGTGTGGGAATGGCCTCTTTCCATTGACTATATAGCCAGAACAGTCTTTGTCTTTCAAACTACCAGACGGACATTCTCTCTTTCTGGTGACATCAAAGAAGGTGCCCATAGGATGGGCACTATGAACAGAGCGGAATGAGGGGAGGATTGTTTTCCCTTCCCTACTTGGAGGCCCAGTGGCCCCAAGAACCCAGCTTAGAGTCTGGCTCTGGTCTGTTTTGTTGGCCCTGTTCAGTTCCAGGCACAAGCAACGGAGGCCCCAGATGTGGACACAAGCCTGGGTGACCTCGGAGGCAGAATTCCAGGCAAATGTTGTAGCCAGTTTAGTAAGAAAACCCTGAGAAGCCAGGGGCTCTGGATTCTGGCTTCTGGCTTTAGACTTGAACTCCTCCGGACTGTGCCATGCAGGAACTGAGTTAAGCTGTAAACCTAACACCCCTCTCTTCTCCAGAAACTGAGATGGTATAAGGGGGGGATTATGCCCCTGGATACCAGGGGAGGAGGAAGTAGTGTTTGTGTATTTGGTTTTTTATGCCTTTGTAAATAAACATTTCTTTGTAAAAGCTAATCTGACTGTTAAGTGGTTAAATGAAACCGGGGTACAGGGGACCCCATAAAATTGAGTCAACCACCACCCTTTAGGAATTAGAAAAACCCGGACAAAAGGTAAAATGTAACATCCCTGTCCTTCAGGCAGTGTGGGTTAGGGTAATCACTGTTACATTACCTATGTGTTTTTAGAGGCAAATTATTTCACTCTGGGCCTCACTTTCTTCCAGTATAAAACAAATGAGTTGGAATATATGTTCTTTAAGGTCCCTCCGAGCTCTTAGTCCTATGATACTTGGGACTTTGCCCCCAGTCTCCAGACTCATGGCCTTAAATTTCCCATGATCCATTAAGCTTTGTTCAGCCTGGAGCTAGATTGGTGAGGAAACACCAGTGTTCATCTTCTGCTCCCCATTTCAGTTCTCCAGATATCTTAGCACCAGTCCCCATGCCAACCACCTCTCTCTCTATCAAGACAGAAGAATCCACCTACCCTCCCAAGACTTCATGTTGGCACACGGTGTAGGCTGTGGTGATCGGTACTTCCTTGACACTCACTATCCGGTGCTCAAAAGGGGCTGGGGGGGCTGGGCTGTCATCTAAAGAGGACACAAACAAACATCACATGGCTCAGAAAGACTTGGCTGACAGCATACACCTCTCAGCAGTCTGTTATGATCACACTGGTTTGGGCATTGTTTACAATAATGAAAGCACCATAGTCTAGGCAGGGGTGGGGAACCTGCCGCCTCGAGGCACATGTGGCCCCCTAGGTCCTCAAGTGTGGCCCTTTGAACAACTTGTTCTTTGAAGTTTCGATTTAGTCAGAGGGCCACACTTGAGGACCTAGAAGGCTACATGTGGCCTCAAGCCCACAGGTTTCCCATCTCTGGAGGTAGGGAGCTAGCCTTAGAGTCAAGAAGATCTAGGTTCAAATCTTCCTTCACCATATACTGGCTGTGTGACCTGAAATAAGTCACTTAACTCCTTAGTGTCCCTAGGGACCTCTCCTAAGACTGCAGAGCAGGTGTCAACCCACCCTGATAAAGGGCATTTTCTCACTAGCAGCTCTCTATGCTAATGCAATCATGGATCCAGTAAATAATAGTAATAACAACTCCCATTCCCAAAGTATTTTATGCTTTTCAGATCTCTGTCCCCCATTTTCTCAGTGGCTCCTTACAACATTGCTATGGGGGTAAGTAGAACAGGTCTCTCTGTTTTACAGATGAGAAAACTAAAGCCCAGGGAAAGGAAAGGACTTGCTTCACAAAGCTAAGTCAATGGGGAAGCTGGGACGCAGAGTAAAGTCAGTCCTCTCTGAACAGGCTGGAATGTGAGCACAATGTGCTGTAAAAGTGACAGTCGTCACATGGTAATAACCACAGGGTACATCGATATGTGGAAATGAACATGTAAAAAATGCCAAGTGAAGAAAGTAGAACATGAGCTAGTCTGTGCTCAGTGTGGAGAGGTAGGAAAACCACTGGACCCGAAGCCAGAAGACCTGGATTTGAATTCTGGCTCTGCCACTGAATGAATGTAGCACCAGGGGCAAATCCCTTTCCATTTTGAGGCCTTAGCATCCTCATTTGTAAATTGGGGCTAATAATATTGCACTCCTCCACCTGTACAGTTGTAATGAAGATCAAATGGGAAAATACATATATAAAATCTTTGGAACCATGAAGTGCCATATTAATGGAAGTTATTGTTATCAAAATTATTTTAAAATATATGTAAGGACAAAAAAGATAGGAAGAGGGTTTGAAGAGGTTTAAATAGAATTTCATGTTCAATTAGATTTCTTTTTCTCCAGAAGTTGATTATTGTTATTGTTATTATTTTTATATAACCATGGGATAGATACAAAGGCATCCAGCTTCTGGATCCCACTTCTCCAATGACAAGGTGATAGTTGGCTAATCTGGGAAACTGAGTTATGTTGATACTGGTTTAAAAATTTTGCCATTTTCATTGTGTTTGATATTGCTAGCTACACATAGTCCAGTGAAATAATATGTCCTTTTCCTCTCCAGGCAATATCTGTTTTTTTAAACAGAAGTCTTCAATGCTTAATCCAAAGGAAGAACTGTAATGGTAAGAATGTACAGCATTGTGGTAGGTCAGTGGAAGAGACTGCCTTCCTTGGAATACTTTGAGTTGTCTCTGATGTCAAATTATGGCCCTGCTCTCGACTCTCTCTACCACTACAACTGAATCTGCCCTAGAATCTATAGTGCACTTTCTGCTTCTTAGGATCACATTGACTAATCAAATATCCCTATCTCATTCCTAACAGGGTATGTTATTTTATTTGTGTGGCAGAGGCCTAAATGGTTGTCTGTTGGGTAGGTTCAGGGACTGAGCCCTAGTTAAGGGTCTCAGGATTTGTAGTGTTTCAAAGTATAGTCTTCCCAGGAAGAGATAGAATCTATGATGTCAACAGTCAGTCAGTCAGACATTGGTTAAGTGCTTACTGTGTGTCAGAGCCTATGCTGGAGTTGAAATGGGGTTTGAACTATACAAGGTGGGGCCAGGCTGGTGGGGAAGCCAGAGCAGGTTATAAGTTTTAAGAAATAATAGGGACAGGGGCAGCTAGGTGATGCAGTGCATAGAACACTGGTCCTGGAGGAAGGAAGGAAGGAAAGAAGGAAGGAAGAAAGAAAGAAAGAAAGAAAGAAAGAAAGAAAGAAAGGAAGGAAGGAAGGAAGGAAGGAAGGAAGGAAGGAAGGAAGAAAGAAAGAAAGAAAGAAAGAGAGAGAGAGAGAGAAAGAGAGAGAGAAAGGAAAGAAGAAAGAGAAAGGAAGGAAGGAAGAGAAAGGAAGGAAGGAAGAAAGAAAAAGAGAGAGAGAAAGGAAAGAAGAAAGAGAAAGGAAGGAAGGAAGAATGAAAGAAAGAAAGAGAAAGGAAAGAAGAGGAAGAAAGGAAGGAAGGAAGAAGGAAAGAAGGAAAGAAGGAAGGAAGAAGGAAGTTACCACAAAGGGAGTCACTTACCCAACACCTGACCACCTGCTCTCTCACAGTGCACACTCATTCCTGCAGCCATGGTTTCTCCCTCCACAACTGTTGCCACATTTTCAGGCTCCTGGGTTCCATTTCCTGGGTTTCTCTCTTGTTCATCTGAGCTTCCAGTGGCCTCTCTCCTATCCTTCTGTGCAGTGCTGCGTCCAATTGCCAGTTGACCTTCTGACTCAGACTTATCCTCTGCTTTCTTGTCATTAGTCCCGAGGAGGATGGTTGCCCTCTCCTTGCCTTGTGGATCGTGCTCACTCTGTCCTGCTTCTGGAGACTTCCTTTCAAGGCCGATCACAGTGGGATCAGTTCTGCTGGGCTGGAAAGCACCCATGGGCACCCATATATCCTGCCCACATGGGTTTCCTTCCCCTTCTGAGGACAATGATGCCAAGGGTTTGGGTCTAAGGGCCTTCTCTGAAGAACGACGCCAACCTCCTGCACAGCTCACCAACATCTCCCCTGGCGTATCTGTCTCCTGCACATGGATGGACAATCTGCAGAGAAGAGAACTCTCATGGGACACAAAGAATCTTTCTGCTCCCACAGGGAGCCTGTATCACCATTTCTTCTATTTGTTGACAGCTCTTAACCACTTTAATCTTCAGTTTTCTCATTTCTAAAATGGAGATGATAATCTGTGCCCTTCCTATCTTATAGGACTTTTTGCGGGGAATCACACAAGATAATGGATATAGAAGTGCTTTGTGTCCTATACAAATGTGAGGTAGGGACAGCAGACCAGGATGCCACATTTGGCCTCCTAGGGTAGCAGATGTCACTGGCTAATGATGGATCAAATACATGAAAATGTTATGATAATATGGGATTTGTTAAGTGTGGTGTGGTGGAAAGAACACTGGATCTGGAGCCAGGAGATCCAGTTTCAAGTCCCAGCTCGACTGCCTTCTTGCTGAATTCCCATGGTAAAGTGACCTCTCCTCTCTGGGTCTCAGTGTCTTTCTATGTCAAATGAAGGAATTGGATTTGACTCTCTCTAAGGCTGTAGAGTAGAAAGAACAATGGAGCCTGAGGACATAGGTTCAAATTCCAGCTCTGCCAAATTCCAGTGCGCACAAGTCAGGCAAATCATAATTCCTCTGGGTCTCAGTTTCCTCATCTGTAAAATGGGAGTGATCCTTATTCCAGTTCTAAATCCTATAATCTTATGGTTCCTTCTAGGTGTGTGATTCTGGGATAGTCTATGATTATTAATCACAGCAGGCTAAAGGGGACCCCGTCCTTATGATTATTTTACCAATTCAGAGAGTCTGCTCTTGCTGAAAAAGCAATTGATTTAGCCCAGCATGAACACAAGGGGGTAGTCCAGATGCCCTCAAGTCCCCTGCCAGTCTGTGGATTTCATACTTAGGGTCACCTGCTCAGGACAGCCAGTTCCCTCTGCTGCCACATTATCTTCCCTCTCAAGGTGACCTTGAAGCTTGGCAGTAACACCGTGGCAATTCCTGGTTTCTTTTTCAGAGGAGAAAGCCCCGGTCTGTGGGTGTAAGAGTGGCTCTCTGGATTATTACCAGGCTGTTGCCCTTGTCCCTCCTGGATACATCAGTATGTTTGGTTCCCTCCTGCCTGCACCCGGATCTATGGACACCTTCTGTTGAAAACCACACACAATAATATGTGAAGTGAGATTTAAAATACAGCATGGTTCAGAGGGATGCATCCTGAGCTTTAATCAGGAAAAAGGTTCTAAGACTGACTCTGCCACTAACTTGTATGTGATCTTGAGCAAGTGACTCCCCATTGATGGGATTCAGTTGCCTCATCTGGAAAATGGGGATAATAATGCCTGCCCTGACTACAGTGCTCTTGTCAGAATCAAACGACATAAGGGATAGGAAAGCAGCACACATGCTGTACCCAAAAGCATTTGTATTCTGAGGTCATCTCAGCCACCCTCCCCAGAGGCTTACATTCACTTGCCTCAATAATCACAACAGCAGTGATATGATCTTATACACCAGCTTTTCATTCCAAGTGTCACCTTTTGCCCTCACAATTCCCCACAAGGCAGGTAGAAAGGGTCAGGAAGTACTGGCCCATTTTATAGATGAGAAAACTTACAGGCAGCTAAGTGAGCTCCGTGGACAGAGGACTAGACCTTGAGTCAAGAAAGCCTCAGTTCAAATTCAGCCTCAGATGCCTACTAGCCATTTGGGCAAGACACTTAACTTCTGTCTAGGGGGCTGCTAGGTGACGCAGTGGATAGAGCACCGGCTTTGAAGTCAGGAGGACCCGAGTTCAAATCCAGCCTCAGACACATAACACTCACTAGCTGTGTGACCCTGGGCAAGTCACTTAACCCCACTGCCTAGCTTAAAAAAAAAAAAATTAAAAACTTCTGTCTGCCTCAGTTCCTTCATTTGTAAAATGGTGATAGGCACCTACCTCCCAGGGTTGTTATGAGGATGAATTGGGATAATATTTGCAAAATGCATTGCAAATCTCACAGTGCTATATAAATGCTAGCTATTATTAATATTAGTAAACTGAGTTTACTCCTGCCCTAAGCTACTGGAGAAATATGGAGAATTCAGGCCTAGGGATCTATTTATTCTCTCTTCACCTTTAACTCACCTCCCCAATCCTTTTGAACCCCATTCCTCCCTACCCTAAAAGTCCTACACACACACACACACACACACACACACACACAACACACACACACACACACATAGCCTTCTCATTTAAGAAGCACGTTTTGGTGTCTGATTTCCCTGAGAATCTGTCCTGGGGCACCTTATCACTCAGTATGAAGCCAAGAACACACTTTCCTGGGATCCAATTCTGCTCTGATTCTTAAATCGCTGTTATTTTTTCCTGGGTTCTATACATTGCCCTTGGATTCCTGGAAGGCTCACTGTAATGATTCCACCCCCTCTCCCCACCACCTCATCTTTTATCCTTTAAACTACCTTGAGTGAGGTGGGTGTCCCAGCAGCTGTTGGCCAGGAATGCAACTGGCTTTCCTGGCTTTGGGGAGTCTCACGTTTCCTTTCCCCTCTAAACAATGACAGATAAGCAAGAAGCCCTGACTTTGCCAATTGCCAAAGCAAACAAAGACATTTGATCCTCCATAGAGGAGTGAATTAAATCCCAAGGATGGTTTAATTTCAGATTACTGGGGAAAAGGGGAAGTCGCCCAGCAGGTCAAATGCCCCCACAGCCAGACTGCAACCAAATTGTCAAATCTGTCTTTTCTGTCCTCCCAAAGCTCCTTTCTATACCCAAGGCCACAGGATCATAGGATTTTATGCTAGAGGGGAATTCAGAGATAATCTAGTTCAAGCTTCTCATTTTACAGATGAAAGAAATGAGGCCCAAAGAAGCTAAATGATTTACCAGGCTGGGATTCAAATACAATCGTCTAAATGAGTCCAACTTACCAGGTCCAAATAAACTACTGAACTGGCAGATGTGACCACAAAGCTTCTGTTGGTAAGCTTGGATTGCATAGGAGAATAACTAAGGTACCATAGGATTGGGAAGGGCAACTATTGTTCTGATTTTCCAGAGAGAGGAAGTAAAGTCTAAAAATTCTATACTGGTAAAATGGACTTCTATTCCTGGAAAAATTTTAGAGCACATTATTAAAGAGATGGTTTGTGGGCACTTCCAAAGGGAGGTAGTAGTCCTACCAAAATTCTTTCTGTAACACAAATATGGTCTTGATACCTAAACCAGGAAGAGCCAAAACAGAGAAAGAAAACTATAGACTAATTTCCTTAATGAATATTAATGCAAAAAATTTTAAATAAAATTCTAGCAAGATTACAACCATATATCATAAAGTTTATACACTACTATCAGGCAGGATTTGTATCAGGAATGCAGGGCTGGTTCAATCTTAAAAAACTATAAGAATAACTGATCATAACAATAACAAAAAGAACAAAAATCATATGATTATTTCAATAGATGGAGAAAAAGCATTTGGCAAAATACAGCATCCATTCCTATTAAAAACACTAGAAAAGTGTTTCTTAAAGCCTTTCTTAAAATGATAAGTAACAGCTATCTAAAACCAAGAGCAAGCATTATCTGTAGAAGGGATAAACTAAAAGTCTTTCCCATAAGATCGGGGTGAAGCAATGATTATCACTGTCATTATCATTATCACTACTATTATTGAATATTGTACTAGAAGTGCTAGCTATAGCAATAAGACAAGAAAAAGAAATCAAAGGAATTAGTATAAGCAATGAAGAAACAAAACTATCACTTTTTGCAGATGATATGATGGCTTATTTAGAGAGTCCTAGAGAATCAATTATAAAATTAGTTGAAACAGTTAACAAATTCAGCAAAATTTCAGGATATAAAATAAACCCACATAAACTATCAGAATTTCTCCACGTTACCAACAAAACCCAAAAGGAAGATAGAAACAGAAATGTTATTAAAAATAACTATAAACAGTATAAAATACTTGGGAGTATACCTGCTAAGATATACACAGGAACTATATGAACAAATTTACAAAACACTTTGAATACAAATAAAGACAGCTAAATAATTGGAGAAATATTAATTGCTCATGGGTAGGCCAAACCAATATAATGAAAATGACAACACTACATAAATTATTTTACATATTCAATGCCATACTAATCAAACTACCCAAGAATTTTTTTATAGAACTAGAAAAAATAATGACAAAATTCATCTAGTGGAAAAAAATTTAAAAATATCAAGAGAATCAATAGGGGGAGGTGGTGAAGGGGCAAGGAAATGGGAAGGAAAGGAGCCCCCGTAATACCAGATATCAAACCACACTACAAAGCTGTAATCATCAAAACAATTTGGTACTGGATAAGAAATAGATTGGTTAATTAGTGGAACAGATTAGTTATTCGCTATACAGAAGCAAGTGAGAACAGTAAACTAGTGTTTCATAAACTCAAATTCTGAGCTATTGGGGCAAGAATTCATTATTTGACAAAAACTGGTGGGAAAACTGAAAAGTTGTTTGGCAGAAAACAGGTATAGACCAACATCTCAGACCATATACCAAGATAAATGGGTACCTAAGTTAGACATAAAAGATGATAGCATAAACAAATTAGTGGAGCATGGAAGAATTTACCTGTCAGATCTATGGAGAGGGGAAGAGTTCATGACCAAACAAGAGATGAGAGGTTCGCAGGAGGTAAAATGGATATTCTGATTACATAAAATTTAATTTGCAAAAATAAAACTAAATGCAGGTAAAATTAGAAGAAAAGTAGAAAACTGAAGGGAAGGATCTTTGTGGCAAGTTTCTTTGATAAAAGTTTCATTTTTCAAATATGTAGGGAACTGAGCCAAATTTATAAGAATAAGAGCCATTCCTCAATTGATAAATGGTCAATGGATATGAACAGGCAGTTTTCAAAGGAAGAAACAAAAACTATCAATAGTCACATGAAAAAATGCTCTAAATCACTAATAATTAGATAAATGCAAATTGAAATAACTCCAAGATAAAACCTCATATCCATCAAATTGGCTAAAGTGACAAAAATGGAAAATGACAAATGTGGGAATGGATGTGGAAAAATAGATAGACCAAAGTACTGTTGGTGGAGCTGTGACCTAGTCCAACCATTCTGGAGAGCAATTTGGAAGTATGCCCCCAAAGCTGTTAAATTGTGCATAACCTTTGACCAGGTAATACCATGACTAGGTCTATACCCCAAAGAGATAAAAAAAAAAAAGAAAAGGACCATTATGTACAAAAAATATTTACAGTGACTTTTTTTGTGATGGCAAAGAATTGAATGAAGGGATGCTCATCAGTTAAGGAATGGCTGAACAAGTTATGGTATATGGATGTGATAGAATACTATTGTGCTGTAAAAAATGATGAAGGGAATAGTTTCAGAAAAACTTGAAGACTTATATGAACTGATGCAAAGTGAAGTTAGCAGAACAGGAAGAACAATTTACATAATAACAGCAGTATTATAAAGATAACTAACTGTGAACTTAGTAACTCTGATCAACACAATGACCCACCACAGTTCCAAAGGACACATGATGAAAAATACCATCCACCTCCAGATAAAGGACTAATGGATTTCGAATGCAAATCAAAGTACATATTTTTCTTTTTCTTGGTGTTTTTTTTTTAAACATGGCTAGTAAGGAAATTTGTTTTGAATAATCATATTTGTAAAGGGTTTTTATTTCTTGCCTTCTCAATGTGTGAGTGAAAAGTGGGGGAGGGAAAGAATCTGGAACTGAAAATAAAATTGAATAAACATTTAAAATGAAAGAGAGGTAGTCATCACTTAAAGAAAGGCAGCATGGTTTAATAAAGAGAACATCATGATAAACTAACCTAATTTCTTTTTTTTGAAAGATTAATTATGGCAGGTGAGGAGAATTCTATCAAAACACTGTGTTTAAATTTCAGCAAAATGTTTAACAAAGTCTTTTATCCTAACCTTGTGGACAACATAGAGAGACATGGGCTAAATGATAGTACAGTTACAGGTATGTATTTGTTAAATCTGCAGATGAAAACATATCTAGGAGGGATAATTAACATGTTGAATAATGGAGTCAAGATCCAAAAAAATCTCAACAGGTTAGAATAAGGAGCCAAATGTAATTGGATGAAACAATAGGAATAAACCTTATTCTACACTTGGGTTGAAGAAATCAATCTCAGAATAACAGGATAGGGGAGCTGTGGCTAGAAAATAATTGTAAATATAATTAAGAAAAAGATCAGGGGGGTTTAGTGAACCACAAGCCCAAATTTCATTAACAGTGTGACACAGAAGCCAAAAACTCTAATGTTATCCAAGACTATATTAAGAGAGGCCAGATGGGGTCCTGAGAGAGTGACAATCCCCTCCTCTGCTCCAAATATTTCTACAGAACTGAGTTCTTTTTGGGGCAACAATTTTAAGAAGGAAATTGAAAAGTCTGGGTGAATTCAGAGAAACACAGTCAGGATGGTGAAAAGATAGGAGACCATGCCTTACAAGGATCGGTTGAAAAAACTGGATGAACATGGAAAAGAAAAGTCTTGGGGGAGGTAGGGAAGAAGGTGGAGGAGTTCAGATTGAACCCAGTGACAATAACTAGAAGCAGCGAATGAAAGCTGCAGAGAGGTGGATTTAGGATTGACGTATGAAAAACTTCTTAATAATCAGAGCTATTCCAAGGTGGAATGGGCAGCCTCTGAAGGGAGAGGGCTCCTCTCTGGAGGTCTTCAGGCAAAGGCTAGATGACCGTTTGTAGCATATGTTATAATGAAAGTTGTTTTTCAGACACAGTCTGTGCCAGAGGGCTGCTCACTGGAACTCTGTAATTCAGTGACTGTGCAAGTCACTTCCCCTCCCTGGGGCACAGTTTAAATGAAGGGGTCAGGGCTTGGTTGGATAAGAGGTACTTGCAGTGTAATGGGAAGAATACTAGATTTGGGGTCAGAGATACTAAGGTTGAATCTTACAACAAATTTGCTGTGTGACCTTGGACAAGTCATTTTCTTTCCTTCTCTAGCCTTCGGTTCCTCATCTGTAAAACTGAAGGTGAGGTAGGGGAAGGATTTGAACTAGATGCTTTCTAAAGTCCAGCTCTGCTACTGTATGATCTTATGATCATATAAATCTAATCATAACAATCATAAATCTAGGGCTGGAAGAGACTTTGGAAGTCATCTCGTCTAGCCTCCCCATTTTACAGATAAGGAACCAAAGAGGGTCAGACAGGTAGCTGCATATTGTTCCTTCATAGGCACAGACAGGATGATCAGTCCCTACCTTGGAGGCACCCCTCCACCCCGAGCTCCCATGGGCTGGGAAAAGGCTCCTGGGACCTCAGCGTTGGGTGCTGAACCTGGCTTTGCCACCTCTTCTGATGGCCAAGAAGCAGGCTGGCCAGGCATGTCTCCTCCTTGTTCTACTCCCCCAGGTGCCACCTGAACCTGGCAGATTTCACCCTGCCTCTGTGGTACCACTGCACAATCTGGATGCACAAGGGTGACGTCACTGGTTTTCTCTGGGTCTTTAGATACTGCGTCTTTGGGTGATGGAGGACAGTCAGGGGGTCTCTGGCAAGAGGCTGGGGTAGAAGCTCCATCATCCTGCCTTGGGGAGGCCTCTGCCCCTCCCAGAGGGTCTGAGTTAACTCCAAGATCTTTAGGGGTCACTGGGGGCAGCCTCCTGTCCTTCCCCTCTGATGACTCTGCCTTTTGGCTTTCTAAACAGAGAAACAGACAATAAAAATTTCAAGTTAATTAAATACTACTGTGCTGTGTACATAAGGTCTGCTGATTTGAATAATGGGCCAGATTCTCCTATCCCTTTGCTGCATAAACCCTTATAATGAAATGTTTTATCCCAACGTACCCTTGAGGATACCACCTCCTCCAAAAGGACTTCTCTAAGCACATAGCATATATTTTACTAAACTGTAAGCCACATGAGGGTAGAGATTTCTAATCTAAACTTTGCATCTCCTCTAGTGGCCAACCTTGTGCCTTGCACACATTAGGGCCTTAAACATTTATAAAATGAATAGATAAATGTTGAACAAGGCATCATTTGTGTATGCTCTCTGTCTCCTACCGGAGAAAGGAGTTCTTAACCCTTTTGTGTCCAGGACCCCTTTGGCAATTTGGTGAAGTCTATGAGCCCCTTCTCAGAACAATGTTTTTTTAAATGCATAAAATAAAATACACGGGACTACAAAAGCAAACAATTATGTTGAAACAGAGCTATCAAATTTTTTTTAAAGTTCATAGATCCCAGGTTAAGAACCCCTGCGTAGAGAGGCCAGCTCCCTCAGTGAGGAAACCATATCCTCTCATTCTTCTGTAACCCCTCTCTTTCCCCGAAGTGCCTAGAATGAAGTAGGAGCTCAATAAACACCTGCTAAATAAAACTGTTTTCAAAGTTCCCTGGTCCTGACTGTCCCTGAGAATAACTGTGCCAGCAAAGTGAGAAGGACAAAAACAATATTATACTCCTGGGTCACAGGGATAGTTGTGGGTGCAGGAAATGTTTCAGGGGAAGGGAACAATAGAGGGTTCCCACATACCTTCCAAAGGCCTCCTGATTTCGGCTTGCACTCCCCGAGTGCTGAGGGTCTGCTTTGGTTTAGCCCCCTTCTCCTCAGTTTTCTCCTTGTTCTAAAAAGCAAGCGTCATTGTAGCCATCATTACACAGTGTGAAATAAAAATTATAACTCAGGCAACCAAGAAATGAGGCACTGCCTACTCTGCTGATTATTACTGGTGCGAACAAACTTGGACAGGTTGCTTTGCTTCACTTTCCACATCTAGAAAATGAGGGTGTTGGGCTAGATGAATACAAAGATCCCATTCAGTTCCAAATCTTTGATCTTAGGATTCCAGAGAAACAGCATGGCCCAGTGGATAGAGAAGTGACCTTACTACTCTAGCCTGGCATACCCTCAATGCTCTTGGAAGCTCTCAAAGACTAAAAATTGAAGAGAAGGTGCTGACCTGCACTGGGGGAAGGAGTTTCCCCAGCTGGGAGTTCCCTATACCAATGAAATGACAGGTCTAGGCCATTTCCCTATCCTGTGATTCTATTGCATGCAGAGTACTGTGCTGGGCACTGGGCGAAAAGGGAAGACACAGACCTAGACTCTTTAAAGAGAGAGAGAACTTCTAACATACTTAAAAAATATATTAGGACCAATGTAAGGAAACACATACTAATTCAAAGCTATGCAAAAGAGCTCTTTGGAAACGTGCTCCTTCAGTTCTAGCACCGGGCTTTGCACATTGTAGGTTCTCAACAGATAGTTGACTAGTTGAATTAATTGCTATAGATAGTCTCTAAACAAATTATCCACTGGGACCAATAAAAGTATTAGTTCTGACTTGAGAAAAAGAGTATCTTCTATTTAATGATAACAATGCACATTTTTATAGCACTTTAAGGATTTCAAAGTACTTCCCTCACCACAACCTTGTGAAACTGGAAATGGACATACTATTATTCTTCTTTTACAGATGAAGAAACTGAGGTTCAGAATGGTCCAAGGTCACAGCTAATAAATGTAAGAGGTGGAATTTTTAACTAGGTTTCCTGAGTCCCAGTCAGGTGATTTTGGAAGAGTCTTTTTCTCTCTCTGCTGGTAGAACTAAAGTACCCAACCAAAGTGGTCCATTAGGCCTTACTTTCACCTCATCTGTAAAATGAAGAGTTTGGACTAGATAATCTCTAGGTCACTTCCAGTCCTAAATTCTCTGGCCATAGTAATAAACTAGCTCTCCGCCCAAGGGGATGGCAGCCTTCTCTGCCTTTGAAAAGCTAAGTTCTCAAAGTTCAAGTTTAATGAGCACCTTCTAATGAAACTCCACTGGAACTGGATTGCATTTCTTTTTGGATAGCAACATGAAAGTCATTAACTATTAGATCAAAACATGTAAGTGAGAGATGGATTTTACGAGTATTTATTGAGAGCCTATTTTGTGCCTAGGTATGTGCTAGGAGCCAAGTGGGAATCTGACTCTTGGCTTGCTTTCATTCATCTCATAATCCTCATCTTGGACTCTATTCCCGAGTCACCAGGCTCTAATAGGTGAGCGTTCCTCTTACCTTACTGGAGAACAAAGCCTCCACATCACTTCCATCTCTACACTATGCTAGGGTGCCTGTTGGTACCCCCCACCCCAGCCTCCCACAGCCATTTCTAGCCCCCTTTTGTGTTGCCTTTCTACTTGAGGGCACAGACCATCTTGCTGCTCATATTTATATCACCAGCATGCTTAGCACCATGCTTGGCCTTTAATCTCTCTCTCTCTCTGCTTCTCTCTCTCTCTCTCTCTCGCTTTCCCCCCCCTTTCCCTCCCTCCCCTCCTCCTCCATCTATCTCTCCTTCCCCCTCCTCTCTCTCCACTTCTCTTTCTCCTCCCCTCTCCCCTCCTCTCTCTCTCTCTCTCTCTCCCCCCTTCCCTTCTTTCTCTGTTTTCTCTTCCTCTCCTCTTCATCCACCTCTCTCTCTCTCTCTCTCTCTCTCTCTTTCTCCCCTCCTTCTCCTCCTCCTCCTCCTCCTCTTTTCTCTCCTCTCTCTTCTCTTTTCTCTGTCTTCCTCTCTCTCTCTTCCTCTCTCTGTCTCTCTTTTTCTCTAGACACACACACACATACACACACACATTCCAGCCCCACCCCAAGACAAGTATCAAGAAAAGATGAGGTTTAATTAGTGCTGACTGTACTTGGAGTCAAAAGATTTGAATTCAAGCCACAGCTCTGCCTCTAGCTCCATATATGACTTTAGGTAAATCACTCTGTTCTTCTTGGTTCAGTTTTCTGAACTGTAAGAGTGAAGGGACTGGAAGAGATGATTTCTAAAGTCTCTTCCAGCCCTGATATTCTGTGACTCTATGATACTCATAGTTGTATCAACTATTATAAAATATACAACACAGCTTTGAACATCTTTAGTGGCAATCTTCTGAGAAGGCCCAAGGCAGTGAGTGACGTTGTTATATCAAAATCTGTCTCTGCTTGTCTATTTCAATTCTACTTCAGAATTCCCAAAGAAAAAACTGCCAATTTTCTCTTTGGAAGGACAGAAGCAGTTTTTAAAGTGGAGGAGACATAATATTCTCTCCCCTCAGTATTTCTATCCTTTGAAGAAGTCAGAAGTTTGGGGAACTCATATCCAGATATGATCCTGCTATTCCCTGTCACTTGACCACAACCTTTGGGAAAAGGAAAACCTAGCTCCCAGAGGCCCTTGTACAGCTGAGCAGGGAAGAGAGATAGCTCCCACCTATAACCCTGGTTGATTGGCAAATACTTCTTTTTTTTTTTTATTTTTTAGGCAAATGGGGTTAAGTGACTTGTCCAGGGTCACACAGCTAGTAAGTGTTAAGTGTTTGGTCTGAGGATGGATTTGAACTCAGGTCCTCCTGACTTCAGGGCCGGTGCTCTATCCACTGCGTCACCTAGCTGCCCCAAAATAATTCTTTAAAAAGAGATTTATACTACTACTAGGTATGTATTCCAAAGAGATCAGAAAAGGGAAAAGGACTCATTTGTACAAAAACATTTATAGCATCTCTTTTTGTGGTGGCACAGAATTGGAAATTGAGGGGATGCCCATCAACTGCGGCATGGTTGAACAAGTTGTGATATATGGGTGTAATGGAATATAATTTTGCTATAAAAAACGATGAGCAGGCTGATTTCAGAAAAACTGGAAAGGCTTACATGAACTGATGCAAAGTGAAGTGAGCAGAACCAGAAGAACATTGTACATAGCAACAGCAATATTGTACAATGATCAACTGTGAATGACTTAACTATTCTCAGCAATGATCCAGGACAATTTCAAAGCACTCATACTAATTACATCCATAGAAAGAACTGATGGAGTCTGAATGCAGATTGAAGCATACTATTTTTCACTTTATTTTTTTCGCGGGTTTTTTGTGGAGTCTGTGTTTTCTTTCACAACATGATTGATATGGAAATATGTTTTACATGACTGAACATGTAGAACCCATATCAAATTGCTTACCATCTCATGAAGGGAGAGGATAGGGAGGAAGGGAGAGAATTTGGAATTCAGATTTTTAAAAAATGAATGTCAAAATTTATTTTTACATGTAATTGGGAAAAAATAAAACATTATTTTTTTAAAAGGATTCTTTACCCTTCTTGAGGATTCTGTTATAAGTATCACTAACTCATTACTTCTCCCTGTTTTGATCTCCCTATATTTCCTCTTTCTTTCCTCCTCTTCGCTTTATCTCACTTCACTCCAATCAAGATTAATTAACCATCTACTTATTCTCTTTTTTTTTTTTTTTTTAGTGAGGCAATTGGGGTTAAGTGACTTGCCTAGAGTCACACAGCTAGGAAGTGTTATGTGTCTGAGGCCAGATTTGAACTCAGGTCCTCTTGACTCCAGGGCCTGTTATCTATCTGCTGTGCCACCTAGTTGCCCCACCATCTACTTACTCTTACAAAGCACTATGGTAATGCAAAATTTCATCAAAACACATGGTTCTTGCCCTCTTGGAACTTTCAGTCTAGTTGGGGAACTAAAGTACAAACACAAAGGACTAGAGAATATAATATTACATGATGATCACCTTAGAGAATTGTTCAACAAAGTCCTAGGTGAGATCTTGGAGGAAATATCATTATCGACAGTGTGTGCTGGAAAAGGAAAGGATTGAGAAATAACAACATAAAACAGGGGAGAGACAACATGAGCAAAGGCGTAAAGGTCAGAGGACGAGGGATGTGTTCAGGGTAAGGAAAGGACTGTCCAGACTGGCTAGAGAATAGTCAGGATGGAAACTTTGGGCCACCTACAATTATTGGGCATGATCTGGATGAAGATCCAAGAAGAGAGACAGAGAAGACGTGGTTAGACAGGTAGAAGGAGAACCGGAAGAGAATAGTGTCATGAAAACTAAGAGAGAAGAGCGTATCGAGGAGAAGATGGTGATCAACAGTATTGAAAGCAGCAGAGAGATCAAGAGGGATGAGTATCAAGAAAAGGCCATTAGATTTGGCAATTAAGAGATCATTAGTGATTTTGGAAAGAGAAGTTTTAGCTGAATGATGATGTTGGAAGCCAGCCTACAAAGAGTTAGGAAGTGAGAGGAAAGGAGGTAAAGGAACCTATTATAGATGGCCTTCTCAAGAAATATGGCCATAAGAGGAGAGATATAGGATAATATACAAGTTCCTTCACTCTCCTGAGGGAATTTGTGTATGCAATGAAAAGATGCACCCAAGTTTGGGGGGATTTTTTGGTTTGGGGCAGCATGGCATAGTGGATAGAGTCTGGACTTAAGTCAGGAAGATCTGGGTTCAAATTCTGCCTCTGGTAATAGTTGTGTGATCCGGACAAGTTATTTAACCTCTCTGGGTCTCAGTTTCCTCATCTGTAAAGTGAAGGGATTGGAATTAGACCAGATGGCTTCTAAAATCCCTTCCAACTCCAAATCTATGATAACATACATCACTTCAGATGAGAGAAAGTTTCAATGACTTACTCAAACTCACCCTGTACTGTCATCCCCTATGTCCCAGAAGAACCTTACTCTGATTTCCAGTAGGATAGGGGGTGATATCTCATGATTTGTTATTCTACCCTCCTGATGTCACCTGTACTACAAGGCCAATAGAGGTCTGCGGCCTCCCCTGTGAGGGAGGGCAGTAGATAGGTCAGATAATCAGCTCCTAAAAAAGCTCCTCTAGAGAAAAATAGAAAAGGATGGTGAGCTTGGATCAGGGATGGGGAGGGAGTGGGTTGGCAAATCCCTTACAGAGATGCTCCCACACACAAAGCAAAAGCCCTTTGGAACTTAGACTTTTGGAGTCTTCTAGAAGGCACTTATCTAGTCCAATGCCCTCATTTCCTCGATGAGGAAACAGAACCAGCAGCACTAAGCCATAGGACCAAGATAGTAAATGGAAGAGCTAGGCTTCCAAGATTCCAAATCTTTTGTCTTTGAGGTCAGAATGCAACAATGCCACCACCCTGTACAGGTCCTCCTGATCTCACACCTGAACACAACAGTGAACACACTCCTTTTTTACTCAGAGCATGGTCCTTTAAGTCTCTCCTCCAAAAGGAAAACTTCCCCTGAGGTTCATGGGTTGTTTCCCAGCCTTGTTTGGTCCTCTCTGCTTCTTCCTGCTCCCAGCCCCCACCCCTACCCTGGGGACTCTGCTCTGCTTCACAGCCTCTCTAGTCTGGCTATCTCCTTCTGGAGGATTATGGATGACTGATGAGATTTGAACTTGTGGCTCCAGGCAGTCTGGGTGTTGCTAAGAGTGTTCCATCACTTTGCTTCCATTCAGGCAGTGTCAGACAGTCTCTCCCCTCAGCCTTTATGAACAAATGTTTCTGCTTGCACAACACTCAGCAATGAATGCCAGCTCAGTGGTCCTGCCCCCAATGTGGGCCTCTGGGCAGTGACACCTGGGGCCTGACTGTTTTTAGAACACTGATAATCCCAAACAGGGCTGGGTAGGACAGGAGGAGGGAGAAGGAAAGAGAGGCTCCAGGAGGTGAGAACAGCATCTATCTACAGGTATACGTAGTGAGGGACTGGGAAAAAAAAGAGTCCTGACCAAATCCTCTCATTTGGTCCCAATATGACCAGTTTACCTCTCCCTAACTGAAAAAAAAAATACTAAAGACTGGATGAATGGTCACCCACTCAGGAAGCCCCAGTCCAAGAAGGGGTGTCATTAGGATTATCAAAGAAAGATTCCTTCCACAATCAAACTTTGCCCTGTTTTCATCCTGGTAGCCTCTTTCCCCCTTGGAATTCTCATTAAGGTTAGTCACCATCTCTTTCTTCATCCAAGCAAAAGAGTCACATAAGGAACACATCAACAGCATCTCATAAATGACACTGAAGAAATGATTCAAATCCCTTCCACTCTCTGGCCTCCAATTTCCTCTTCTATAAAATAAAAGAGTTGGAGCAGAAGGTCTCTGCAATCCCTTGTAGTTCTACCAGTATAATTTTATGACTCCCCAAGCTAGTCTAAAAATCCCAATTGCCTTTCATGCAGCCCCTTTGAAAAGTAGCGTAACGTATGGGAAGGAGCTCTGGAATTAGACTCAGAGTACATAGAGTCACAATTCATTCATTCATCAAGTTAGCTACTTCGCTAAGTAAGCACGAGAGATACAAAGCCAAAAGTGAAACCTCAAGGACCTTACATTATATTGCGGAAAATTACAGGTCGACATATAAGTAAACACGAAATATTTACAAGATAAACACAAAGTACTTTCCGGAGGGGAAGAACACTAATAACAGAGGTGACCAGAACAGTCCTCAAATAGAAAACGGCACTTGGGGGCCAAGACCTGAATAAAGCTGAGGATTCCAATGAGATGGAGTTGGCTAGAGGAAGCATTCCGGGCATGGGAGACAGCCCACTGAAAGGTCTCGAGACAGGAGATGGAATGTTGTAGATGGGGAACAAAAAGAAGGCCAGTTTGGCTAAACTTCTCAGATGGCATAAGGGGGGTAATATGCAATGAGTCTGGCAAGGTAGGCTGAAGGGCATTTGCCAAACAAAGGAATGTGGATTTCATTCTACGGGCAATTAGAAGTTTCTGAAGCCTCTTGGGAGGTAGGGGTGGGAGGAGCCCACCAGTGGCATGGTCAGACTCTGCCTCTGTCACTTGCTAACTCTGTGACCTTAGGCAAGACATTCAACTTCCCTAGACCTCAGTTTCCTCATCTGTAAAATGAGAGGGTTAGACCACATGATCTTCAGGCTGTATCTTTCAGTTCCAAATCCTATGATCCTATTAATTTCTACCCTCAGTGAACCTCATGATGTCCAAGTAAATAAGATTCCCCAAAGTTATGGGAATTTGACACCCAAGCAAATTCCCCAAAGAAGATCCTTATCAGAGAAAATGGTGGGGGCAAAAAAAAATCTAGTCTTCAATACCCCAGACCTTAATGCCAACCCTGATGCTGAATTATATGGGGGAAGCCACCCACCCATGCCCATACGGTGGGTTCTCTTCTGACAAGGGACAAGGGGCTGAAAGAAGAAAATAGAAACCAACCTCCTCAAGACTCTCAACATCAGCCAGGCTCCCTTTCCTCCAGGGATTACTTCCTTGTAGGATGAAATCCACCACTTTAGAATTCTGGAAAATCACTCCAATCAAAGCCATGGCTTTGTCCACTGCAGTGACCATCTTGAGGAGCCCTTCAAGCATTGTGCTGTGTCGGGAGGTGTCCCGCTGCACAGCCCTCACCAACTCCAGCATCTCAGGGCACCCCGTCTGAACATGGGCTTTAGTCAGTCCTTCCCAGAGGAGATCTGCCTTAGAAGTGGCTGCCATCTTGCTGATGCCCCGTTCCAGGTCACCAATGCCTCGATACACACTCTCTAGTTTTCCTGCCACATCTTCTTGGAAATTCAAGAGTTTATCAACCTTTTCATTCAGCAAGTTCAATTTTTTGTCCATGGTGTTTAAGCAGCTTCTGCCAGTCACCGGCAGCCTCGGTTTCCCAGCATCCCCACAAGTCCCTGAGCTGTCCTTGGAAGAGTCAGACATTTTGACCAAGAAAGAAACAATCACCAGGAAATCTAGTGAAACTTGGTATTTGCAAACTAGACTGTGGGCCCCTGGAAGTTCATTACTCTTCTTGTCTAGTTCCCTCTCCTTTGGAATTCAGATCAGATTGCTTTCAAGAGACTTTTAGGCTGTCTTCTTTAGCCCCCTGGACATTGCTGTTACTGGGAGAAGAGGGCTGTGTTTTTCTGTTATCTTCTCTCGTGTAGGGCCTGCCCATGAGTGACATGCCATACTTGGCATGAGCCCCTCTCCTTGGGCCACTTTGACTTGACGTCACAGTATCATTTAAAATTCCTCTCTGAGAGGCTGCTGATGGGCAAATATCTTCAGAATTGACATCACTTGGTTTGGGGAACTGAGATGAACTTCCAGAAAAAGAAAAATCCTTTAGGCAACTTCACTCTCTCCAGGCAAAGAGGGCCCGAGGAGGCTGGATTCACCCCCCTGAATACTATTGGAATGTAAGAAATGGTCGTGCAGGCCCTGAATGCTGGAGCTCCATTCCAGTCACCTATCACTTGATTTTAAAAATAGAACCCAATGACAATAGCCTCTAATCCTTTCCTGGCACTAAGATACACTTGACAACCTGGAGGTACATTCCTTGTAGGGGTCCCTCCTCAACCCCAACTGAGAAAAACTCTTTGCCAGTTGATGACCATGCAGTTACTCAGCACCCACTTCCCCGTGGAATTGAAGAATTTTGGAGCCTAGAACTGAGGCTGGGAGAGAGGAAGTGATTTGCCCCAGAAAGCAAATGGCGTAAGGGATGAACTCAGGACTGAAGATCAGTTACTCTAAAGCAGGAAAAGCCTTTCTATTTTATTGTGATGAAAATTAGGACCCAGAAGAAAGCATCTTAAATTGCATTAGAATTTTGTCTTTTAAAATCCTTTGAATCTGTATACACATTAGTTTCCTGAGGCCTGGGCTAGAGTTTCTAGGCACATCAACACATGAAATACATGCATATGTTAGTTCATGTGGATATGCATGTGTTCATGTATACATGAAACTCTATGTTTGTGTATATACTTATTATATACATAATGGACTGACACTATAGGTATGCCTCACTTTAAGTCAGTTCAACTAAATTCAAAATTTAATATTTGTTAAGTGACGATGTGCCAGACACTGTGCTAGAAAGTGAAGATCCACAGATAAATGAGATAGTCTTTACCTTCAAGGAACTTACATTATACTAGATGGGAAATAACACATATTCAGATAAGTAAAAACAGTGAATAGAGCACTAGTCCTGGAATCAGAAGGACCTGAGTTCAAATCCAACCTCAGACATTTGACACTTACTAGCTTGTGACCCTGGGTCACTTAACCCCAATTGCCTCACCAAAAAAAAAAAAAAAAAAAAAAAAGATAAGTAAATATGAAATAAAGACAGAATCATTTCAGGGGTGAGGAGGAGCCTGGTGTGCTACCAAGCAACAGAATCAGGAAAGTCCTTTGAGCAAAACTTTGACAGAAGCTCAGGATTCCAAGAAGCAGAGATGAGGACGGAGAATACTTCAGGGATGGGAGGCAAGCAATGCAAAGATATGGACTGAGAAGATCAAATGCTGAATTCAAGGAAGTGTCAAGAAGACCATCTTGTCTGGCAAGGAGAGGAGGAAGGAAGGAAAGAGAAAGAAAGAAAGAAAGAAAGAAAGAAAGAAAGAAAGAAAGAAAGA